ACCACCCGCCGCAACGCAATCCAAGCCCGCCCCCCCCAAATCCAAACCCGCAGAAGCAAAGTCCCTCCCCAAAAAGGAAGAACCAAAGTCCCAGCCCTCGACAGCAAAAGACTTCTTCGGAAAAGGAGGAAAAGCCAAAGAGTCTACGAAATCAAAGGGCGCGACCCCATCCGCTTCAAGCAAAGAATCTACACCCAACCCCCCAGGCTTGAAGAAGGAATCCTCAAGTCTATTCAAGTCCTTCGCGAAGGCCAAACCAAAGGCCAAAGCTGAGGCAGAGGAAAGTTCCGCAGCTGCGTTGCCAGCGGAGGATTCGCCTATGAAAGATATTGTCCCCTCGGATGACGACGATGATGAACCATTCATTCCCGCCCCGCCAAAGGAGGAGATTGATCGTAATCGGCGACAGAGGAAGGAGCGGGAAGAGGCTCTGAGGAAGATGATGGAGGATGATGACGAAGAGGAAGACGAACCTTCTCCCGCCGCGAAGGTAGCGGAACCCGACCAAGAAGAGGAGAAAGAAGCACCAAAAACCAAGTCTAAATCCAAATCTCCGTCTGAGGAGAAGGAAGAACCTCCCGTCGTAAGCGGAGGCAGAAGACGTGGTCGGAGGAGAGTAATGAAGAAAAAGACCGTTAAAGACGAGGATGGATATTTAGGTATTTCATTTCATTCCACCCTCTTCCCCCTTCCCCTTCCCTTCCCCTTCCCACAAACCCCAGATTCCCTAACAAGAACCCAACGGAACTAGTAACCAAAGAAGAAATGGCCTGGGAATCCTTCTCCGAGGACGAACCCATTGCGAAGCCCAAACCAAAATCACAGACAAGTACAGCAGCAACCAAGAAGAAACCCGCGGCAAAAGCTGGCCAGGGAAGTATCATGTCGTTTTTTGGGAAGAAGTAGCCCTCGATTTGTAGGTCGTTCTGACTTGACAGACGGCGGTAATGGGACGATCAAGACTCATAATAACTATGTCCACCAGGCTGGTCTATGTTGTACAGTACGATTCGGCATTTTTGGCAGGGAGCGTAGATAGGTAGGTAGGTAGGTAGATACAGTAATGAAGATACCATTTGATATGATACTCAGACACTCTAGACTTCACATAGCCCCTCTAATATCGCAATAATAAAGATCTTCAAGTTAATTACTGTTCTCTAATAAATCCCACATTTTACATAAACCCCCCTCGCGCAAAGTTCCGTAAGATTTTATATATTATACAATGGCCTCCCAAACCTGCCACAAGTATGCTAAACCCCTCCCCTCCCAGCTATGTGAACCCCCATGAGAGAATTAAAAAAAACCAGAACTCCAATTCCAACAATCCCATCATTAAAACCCGCCGTCGCAACAAAGTGAAGAGAGGAATACAGGCACTTTTATTCAACAACATAAGGTTTCGCCCCAGGCCCGAAGATTAAATGCGGTTTCCTCGCCGCTAGATCTAGTATCGTCTGCGCGAAGACGCTATTCGCCCCTATTATACGCATTAGCATTAGTAACAGTATCCTCATACCACTCTTGCAAGATAGAAGGTAGATGAAGTGATGGAGGAGATTGGAAGGTGGGTAGGTAACTTACAAGCGAACCAACTCCGGGTGAAGTCCCGGATTCGGTTGACGTTGATAGACTCGTGTATTAGGCCTAATCTGCTCGCAGTCAAGACCTTGTGCAGACATTCTTTGATTTCCTCGTCGTCTTCGGAGGTCATTGCTTGGAGGAGGAGACTCATCGGCCATGCGTGCTCGAGTCCTACGTGAGGGCCTGGATGGTTCGATCAGTTAGTGGTACTCGCTTGTTTTACATGAGGAAGACGAAAGTGGGAGTAATGAGGCTCAAAAAGGGAGTGAGGGAGAGGGAAAGAAAGAACATACCACCAATACCCGAAAATGCTCGTCCCTCCAAGTAATAAGGATTGCTATCCTTCCTTAACAACATCTTCCTCGTATTCTGATAAACCGGATCCGTCCTATCCACGAATCCCAGAATCGGCAACGCCAATAACGAAGGCACATTCGCATCATCCATGATAATCTGACTCCCATACCCATCCACCTCGTAAGCAAAAACCCTTCCATACTTCTTATGCTGCACCACTCCATGTTCCCAGATCCCATCCGTGATCGCCTGGCTCCGCTTCTCCAAGTTCTGGGCCATGGTGAGATGTTTGGCAGCTCGTAGGACGTCAGCTGTGCGTTTGAGTTCCACGGCCATTTGGGCATTGGCTGGGATGTAGAAGCCCAGGATTGAGGCATCGTCTGAGGGTCGGAAGGCAGAGCGGATGAGACCGGTGCCGAAGTTGAGGGGGTTGCCTACGCCGTTCAGAGACAGCGTTTCGGTTCCCTGGTCGGTCCTGCGTGAGAATGTGTAGGAGTTCTTTTCATAGCGACCACTGGTGTGGTCGAATGTTGATTGGGATTGTTGATCCAGGACTCCGAGTAATGTTTCCAGCGCCAGGAACCATCTTTTGGTCATGAATGCAGTTGATCCGGTGCTGTTTGCAAAGGTGTTGCCGATTGCTAAGAAGTGGGCCAGAGAATCCAATTCGTATTTACATTCGAATACAAACGTTGGCTCGTAGGCGGGATGAACCATGTCCTGCTGTCCATTGTGGGCAGGTGGTATTTTTGATCCCGGGGGAGCTTGAAAGGCATTGCAATATGGCGATTCGATCACGTATTCCGCTTGTGTATTTATAGCTCCCAGAATGAGATTGAAGATCTTCTTATCACTTTTCGCCAGCGGTTGGTATTGTAGTAACTGGTTTGTCGAATCTCGTAACCACTCGGCATTAATATCCCCAGTAACGACGAACGATTGTGGCCCTTCCCACTTCCCTTCCTCTTTCGTGCCTCGTTTTAACTCGGTATGTTTTTGGGATTCAGTGCCATCTACATGCCACCGCACCGTCGTATCGAGAGTATTAGGAAACGCGTTCACGAATAGCCTCGCCATGGATTTATCCGTCATCCTCGACGTAATATCCTCAATCACTTTCTCTACCAGAGGAGAGGTGAAAGTCCGACAGTATTTCGAGGGTCGCTGAAAGGGTAGTTGCATTTCGCCCTCGGAAAAGGGCTCGCTGGAGTCTCATTAGCTTCCAAGTTGCCGGAAAATGGGGATAGGGACCACTGACTGATTAAACTGAGAATACATTTTATAATCCGGACACGCCCGCGTATAATCCTCATCCAGGACCTCCTGAATCTCTTCATCCGAGTCCTCAACGTCAAGTCCCATCACTACACTACAGACTCCCACCCATACCGGCCACGATCTAAGTCCAAGCTTGACCATTTTTTATGTTTTTTTTGCGTGAAAGTTCAGCTAGTCCTATTCTTGTTCCTTCCACATCAACGAAGGTTCTTCGAGGTAATCATAGGCTGAGAAGATTGCAGTTGCAGTGGTGGTGTTGTTAAAGAACGTTGGAGTCAGTACCCACGTTTCATGCCGAGAGCCTTGCGCACTGGAACCTGGAAGGCTCCCGAAAGTGGGTCTCCAAGGCTGGCCTTCACCACAACTGTACGTATCAACACCAGGAGAATGCCTCCAGAAGAAAGTATACCATATTGACCATTTCTCGTTACCAAATTAATACGACACATTATTAGGGCCATCATGCTTCACAAATTCGTATTTGTACACCAAACTAATTCTGGACAGATTTCCTCATACCCTCCCAGTTGAGGATCATTATTTCTACCCCTTCCCCTTCCTGGAGAGAGCATTCATCCAGCTACGTAAGTCGCATGTATGAACATTCCTTTCTAATTGCCCAACGCCAACCCAATGCTCCTCCAACCATGTAATCGCTCAACAGATGGTATATGCAGAGATCCGACCACAAAAAAACTAATTAACACCTTCACAATTGCTCAACCCCACTCATTCAAACTGAAGAGAGGGAGTAGCTTCGTCTTTCACATCCGCGAGAGCCCTTTGCAAGGGTGCAGATTCAAGACTGGCTCCCATTAGGCTCCTCCTATGCGGCCACGAGGTAAACGACTCGCTCTCTTCAATCGACGTATCGATCAAGTCATCAACCGCTCCAGGCCCCTCAACCGCAGATTCGGGGTATGAAGCCCGTTGTACTGCCTTCTGCAGCGCCTGTAGATAATTGTTTGCATGTGTAAACTGAGCCAGGCTATCTTTGTTGGGAAGTGTGTCATACTTCGCAATTGCTTCATCTAACCGCAGTCTCGATTGTTGTATCTTCTTGAGTGTAAGCCAAGCATCAGCTGCATATATACTCCACATGGCCGATTTCCGGGTTCTGGCACCCCATAAACCAGAACCGGCTCCTTTTTTGGAGGCATAGCAAATCGAAATACGCTCCTTTAAAAGTGCCTCCCCTATAGGTCCAGCGACTTTGTACTCGAGCAGCTTTGATCCCCACTTGGCTGCATCTTCAGTTGCTGACCCACCTCGAAGTCTCAAAAGTTCCATGCCCAGAGCAAGGCAGCGGAAAGCACCGTATGAAGCACCACAGCGTGTGAGGTAAGAATATGATGCAGTCTCCAGCATCTGTTCAATTGTCTCCGCTCGGACTTTCGGACTCAAAGTTTGCGGAATCAAAAGTGTGCTGATAGCTGCCATTTCGTTGGCAGCAGCATGGTACCTCCATGCTTTATCGTTGTTGAAATCCGACCGCAGTAAGTCGTAAGTAGACTGGGCAAGCTTCCAATCCCGAAGCATGAATGCATAATCTGCTAGTTTCCGCATAATGGCTTCTGGAGTATTTGGCAGATAATAGCCCTGCACTGCATCGTAGTTGCTGTTAGAGCCAGAGGATCCACCGGTAGAATTCCTTGAACTACCCCCAAATCCCGTCCATCTTTTTGACAAGCTCATGAACCGACCACCAATACCCCGCCGTCGTGATGCTACCTGGTCATTCCAAGTTGATACACATCTTTCCATGGACGGAATGACGGATTGTGTAACCATTTCTCGGATAAAAGTCTTGATTGCTGTCATGTCGGATTCATAAATACAAGGGTACGAATTCTCGAAATCTTCTAGCACTTCTCGACTTTTTATATCCGCGAGTTCTTCAGAAGCTGAAACCCACTCACAACGAGGCATCCGGAAGCTGTCATCATCTGTTGACACGCAATTACTACTTCTAAGACGTAGGAGGTGACAATGAAGCCCGAAATGTTTCTTCATCTGTTCGAAAAGAGCAATCGATTTTGTGATATCGTCTCGCTCCTCATCATGAACCAAGACATAATAACGTAGGTATTCGCTGTCGACCCAAATTGGGAACCTTCTGGGCCCGAGTTTTGATTCCTGGTACAGAGTCCGTAAAGCATCGATTGGGTTGGTATTCCTTGAGCTGATTGCAATTACACAAGCCACGGGATGAGAAAAGGTCTCATGGGGCATCAGAGGAAACCCAGACAGCAGTCTCCTTAGATAAAGAGTGTAGAATGGCGACGAGGTATCGAGGTTTTGATTTAGACCTTCCTTGAAGTTCAAATAGTCCTCCGCGCCAGCTCCGTTCATACCCGGAAAATCCTCCGCGTGGGTTAAATGCCTATCAACCAAACTCTCAATTTGTGGTATGTTTCCACCAGTTCTAGATCTTTGGCTTGTGGATTTCCCATCAGGCTTCTCGCCGTTCCCGGTCAAGCCGATCCCGTCTTCGCTTTTCCTGGGTAATTCAGGAGGCTCAAGTCCATCCCCGAGTTGCACAAAACGAACGGAAAAGTCGTCCCATGTTTTCCCGGCCCCTATACTGTCTCGCACATTAACTTTCCCTTGGACTCTTTCTCCAAAAGGACGTAATAACTCCCACAGCCCTCCTTCGATGCCTTTATCTCTTAACAACTCGTGAGTGTCGATGGATGTGTGCACCGCAATATGAGGAACGAAGGCTTGAAGTATCAGATTTCGTGGATCCCCTGGCTGTTCCGCAGGTGCCATTTGTTGCCCATCCCCTGGTGTGCCACCGAATACTGATCCGGTCATCCTCGAACGGACGCCACCTATGGGGGAGCTTGATCGTGATCCTGTTGGTGTGGTTGTTGAGGCAAATAGAGAAGATACGGAAGGATTCGAGGCTCGATATGGCAAGGTGGAAGTGGAAGATATCATTGAGTGGTTGTCCATAGAGGCTCGATTTTTTGGCATCCTCAACATGGAGGATGCCACAGGCTCAGGGGACGAGACATTATTGGGAGAGTTCATGAAGAGCAGCGATTGCGCCTTCACAGTCGGTGAGACGCAAGTTATCTCGCTGATCTGTCGGCTTCCACAGCGTCACAACGTTTGTAGCTCCAAACGCATGAGTTACAACCAAAGGATCACTACAAAGAAAGTCAGCGAAATGTGGCCTTGTAGTTGGCGAGACAGATGGTTCAGTATACATGCTGCATGAACTGATCAGACTGAATCGGCGGAGGAAGTGCTCTAGACATGTGCCCCTGGAATGCATGTGTTGCAAAATGAAGAACACAAACGTGAATTACTGGCAGTGGAGGACAGAAAGTTCACAGCGCACCAGGACTGTGAGGTTGAACCAGATGCTATTATCAGTTCTGGGGTGCTGGGATGAGCCGACTCGGAAGCCGGGAGTTCGAACGCCGACGCCCCTGCATAGAACCTTCCAACTGGTGGACCTCCCCCAGCCAGCTGTCAAGTTATACGTGATTTATATGGGTTTATTGGATACTATGTGCAGATATACTACAAGCAAACAACAATTCTGTCATGGTTTCTATAGGTGAATGGGCCATGTCCTCCTATTAGCGAGTGAGGAGTGGGCACATAAGTAGAGGCAGGATTCTACATCAATGCTCTGCCTCTTCATATCCCCTTTGAAAGTCGTCTCCACCGGCATTTGCGCTTGTCAAATTTTGCAAGTCACAACTCCAGTCATCACCGCAAATACTTTCAAAAGAAAACGAAAATTCTCCTCATACCCTCTGATGAAAAGAAAAGAGGCCGACTCTGAGCTTACAAGCCCTCACGAGAAAAAGAAGCCACGAGTCACCACTATGGCGACGCAAAGATTACAGCTTACGGCGCAAGAGCAGCGCCTTCGCAGGCTCTTGCTGGATGTCGCAAACTTCATCGATGAGGCCAAGGAGTTGAAGGAAAAGATAGAACTACGTTTCGCTGGCGGCTGGGTTCGCGACAGACTTCTCAACATTCCTAGTCACGACATTGATACGGCTATCAATTCTTTGACAGGTGTGACATTTTGCGAATATATGGCAGAATTCATCACCGATCCCGCAAATGTGGAAAAGCACAATATCAATGAGGGTGAAATTGGTCGCCTTCACACCATTGCCAAAAACCCGGAAAAGTCAAAGCACCTGGAAACAACGACAGTGCTGATTTTTGGCTTTGATGTTGATTTTGTGAACTTGAGGAAAGAGACCTATACGGATGATAGTCGGAACCCTCAGGTAGAATTTGGTACAGCGGAAGAGGATGCTTTGCGACGGGATGCTACAATTAATGCCATGTTTTACAACCTTAAGTCAGATCAAGTTGAAGATTTCTGTGGTGGCTTAGAACATCTCAAAGCCAAGCTTATCAAAACACCACTTGAGCCATTGACAACATTTACGGACGATCCTCTGCGAGTGCTGAGACTCATTCGCTTTGCCAGCCGTTTGGAATTTCGAATTGACCCAGAGACCGAAGTTGCTATGACCGATCCTGCTGTCACTCAAGCTCTCATGGCAAAGATTACCCGAGAAAGGGTTGGAATTGAGGTTGAGAAAATGCTGAAAGGTAAGCTGGAAGTGCTCCAATTCTTACAACTTGGCTAACCATTTTCAAGGCAAGGATCCAAGGGCTGCTCTTCGTCTCATTGATCGGCTTGGACTCTACAAATTCATCTTCATTGACCCAACCGTTGAGACAGTAGAATTTCCAAGCACAACAAATTGGTCTATTGTCTACGAGTTCCTGTATGAGCTAAAGAGCAACGAAACTCCAGGCTCCATCTGGAAAGGTTTAGTGAGATCCGAAGATGCCCAGTTCGCTGCTTGGGTACTCGCAGCCTTAACCCCTTGGTCAACAATCCCCTTGCCAAAACCAACAGCCGCAGGAAAGCAGTTACCACCTCTGCCAACACTCGTGGCTCAAAAAGGTGTCAAGTTGAACGGCAAGATCTGCGACATTGTCACAGGTTGCTTTAGGAATTTCCAAGAGATTACGAGCCTACGAGATTCTATTTTAAAGAAGGAGCCACTCATCCATGAGCGCGACACATTAGGTATGATGGTTAGGAGGTGGGATAATCAAGGCAAGAACTGGCGGCTGCAAGTCTTATTAGCTGTCCTTGTGGAGAGTATGACCACAAATGAATCTAGTGAGTTCTCTATTTGCCGAGCTTTTCAATCCAACAACGACTAACACTTGCCAGACAAAGCCACTCTTTTGAGTAATTGGCAACAATTCATCGAGCATCTAGAAGGATTAGATCTTATGGACGCCCCTTCCTTGAAACCTCTTGTCAACGGAAATGAGCTTCGAAAGGCACTTGGGGGGATCAAAGCCGGAATCTGGATGAAACCAGCACTAGATGTGTGTCTAGAGTGGCAACTGAGAAATCTCGGCAATGAAAACAAGGAAGAAGCAATAGAGGAAGTCAAGAAGAGGAAGGAGGAGTTGAAAATACCCAGTGCTTGAAAAGCCACGTTTGTTTGTTATTGATTTATTGCATTAGCATATAAGCACTGCTCGTACTCCGACAATCTAGTGGACACCCAGATCGAAAATAATGCTCTGTGTGAGAGGATGGGGAGGACATTACCTAGTCAGCTGATGCGTTTATATTACCCCGCTGTATGAAATATATGGCGATAAGCAACATCTTACATATGAGGTTTTTACACAATTTAAGCTCGAAGTGCTCCATTCTTCATTAATTACTTGTCAAATTCCTTCACAAAACACAGAACCCTATCCATCCTTTTCATTCCTTACGCAGCTTTCAGATCTCTCCTCGATTATATCATCACAATGACAAACAAGCCACAATACGACACCATCCAACGCCCTTACGATTACGTCCGGGGCGCATCCATCGCCTTCATCGAGCGCGAAAACGTACAAGAAAAAGTCAAACCATTCATCAAAAACGCACGCATTCTCGAGCTCGCCTGCGGAACAGGTTTCTACACCTACAGTTTCCTCGACTGGGGAGCCAGCTCTGTACTCGGTGTGGATGTCTCCTCCGCCATGCTGAACGAAGCACGTCGTCAGGGGAAACAAGTCTCTTTCATACAAGCCGACTGTTCCATTCCCCAGATCTACGACGGTGGAAACTTTGATATCGTCTTCGCTGCTTGGCTTCTTAATTATGCTCCTGGTCGTGCTGGGCTCGTCGATATGTTCCGCAATGTGACGATGAATCTTAGAGATGGAGGAAGATTTGTTGCTATCACCTGTCCGCCTTCGTCGAACCCGATTGAGTCTTTGAATGCGGAGGTTAGTGCCCGTCCGATGCCTGCTGGCTCGGGGTACTTGATCTATAAACATATCGAGGATGTCGAGGATGGGATTTATTTCCAGGTACATGGTGAGACGCCTTTGGGAGAATTGGACTTCTATAATTACCACCTGAAGAGGGAGATTTATGAGCAGGCTGCGAGGGAAGCGGGATTGCAGATACGGGAATGGGATTTTACGAAGGTCCCTGAGAAGTATTTGAAAGGGGAAGGTCCTGGTGGTGCGAGTTTGATGGAGTTGGAAATTTATCAGACGATTCCTAATTATGGAGTACTAGTCATTTCCAAATAGTAATACACCAGTCGATTTCGTACACTTCGAACTGAACTGGACCCCCTTTTTTGAAAAGCGAAGTGCCTAATTTAATTGCTGGAATTTGCTCAATCTTTTGCTCATCCTGGGATAGGGAAAGGGTAGATGGCAGTCTGACTGCAGCACGACTGCAACCCTATTCATCCAGACTTGCCTCCTATAGTGGTGCCAAGACAGTACTGGGAGTCGCTTAGCACTGAGCGTCCGGGACGCCCTTCGAGTCGACCAGATACAGTAATGTTGCATTTCAAAGAGCAACGGAGCTAGTGTCAGCAATGGTTTATGGATTGTGCTCTCAATGGGTACATCGTATTGCCATCCTATGGAAAATAGAGCGCTGTAGAGTGGTTAAGCCCCCCTGAAGAGTGGGGAATCAACGAAAGACGATGTTGCTTATATACACAAGACAATGCTAGGATATCAATTTGCTTACACCTGAATCATATTGTCCGTCGATAATCTGGTTTTCCTGCCATGACTTTTCTCTCGGATCATGACATCGAGAAGGGAGTGGCAGTGAACCCCGCAGAACTTCGTGTCATCGCCAACAGCTCCCCGAATCATGACGGAAGCAGCAATTCCAACAACCAAAACCACGACGTAGAACGGAATGATTCCTCTGGAAAGAAGTCAAGCTGTTGTAGCATCAATTTAAAAGGCATTTGGAGTATCGAAGCACGCGGCATCACACGTGTAGAAAACGCAGAAAAGAAATCCCCTCGACCTCTCCATGACTACTTCCACATGTTCTCCCTATGGTTCAGCATCAACCTAGGAGCCGTCAATATAATCATCGGCCTTCTCGGGCCCCTGGTGTACGGTCTTGGGTGGGTAGATTGTATTTGTATCATTATCTTCGGGGGTGGACTTGCCTCGTGTAGTGTCTCGTACCTAGCTACCTTTGGTCCAGAAAGCGGGTTGAGAAGCATGGTATTTGCATACTTTCATTTTTTGAATGTCGTTGTGCTGGTGTGCAAGCTAATCTCCATTGCGCAGATCCTCGGTCGGTATTTCATGGGATATTGGCCGTCGAAGATTGCGGCTCTTTGTAATATTGTGCAGCAAGTTGGTTTCGGTACCATTGGGTGTATTGTCACGGGACAGATGATCACAGCGGTCAATGGGGGAGGATTGAGTTTGGCTGTTGGTTGTGTGATTGCGGCTTTGTGCATTGGATTGGTTGCTAGTTTTGGTATTGACTACTTGAACAAAATGGAGAGGTAGTACAGTTCCATTTGCGTTGTGTAAAAGCATATGACTTACAAAAAGCAGATTTGGATATATCCCGCAAGCTCTGGCGATCTTTGTGTTGATTGATTCGGCTGGCAAGAACTTCAACATTGACGCCGTCTCCGTTGGTGATCCCGCAAGTATTAACGCCAACCGCTGTTCGTTCTTCGCCCTTATTTTTGCAAGCATTATAGGATTCTCTGCCGTCAGTGCTGACTTCTACGTTTACTATCCCAAGAACTACACCAAGTGAATCACTTTTGCTTCAACATGGTCTGGTATCTGGCTCGCTCTGGTCGTCTGCGACATCATAGGAGTTGGTATTGCTACTGGAGTTCCTAATGTTCCCGAGTGGAGCGAGGCCTATGAAATCTCTTCCGGCGCGCTTCTTTACGCCTGCTTCAGCGGTCTGGGTGGATTCGGGGGCTTTTGCGTCGTGATCATCTCACTGGGCTCTATTACCAACAACGCACCCTGTAGCTACAGCGCAGCGCTGACAATCCAAACTCTTGGAGAGTATCCGAAAAGAGTTCCTCGTTGGTTATGGTGCGTCGTCATAACAGCAATCGAGGTAGGTCTTCTTCGTTTCCTTTCTATGCTCACAAAACGATGCTGATTGAAGCACAACAGCTTGTCCTATCCGTCGCTGGTCGCGATCGACTCTTCACCGTCTTTCAGAACTTCCTTCCCATGATGGCTTACTGGATATGTCCCTGGATTACCATCGTTCTTGAAGAGCATCTCCTCTTCCACAAACTACTTGGAAGACCATTCGACTGGTCTATCAACGAAAATAGGAAGAAATTGCCGGTTGGAATCGCCGCAACTCTGTCGTTCTTGATTGGTTTCTCGGGTGCATTTGTGGGTATGTACCAGGTTTGGTATACGGGTCCTCTCGCCCTGAAGATTGGGGGCGAATATGGCGGTGATATTGGGGAATGGATCGCTATTGGTTTTACCGGTGTTGTTTTCCCGCCGTTGAGATGGCTGGAATTGAAGAGATTGGGGCGATAGACTTAGAAACAAGGGCTTGATTGTGACTGCCGGTTGCTTATCTGTTTAGAGCGCTGCATGTAGAGTTCAGCTATGCCACTCATCTTGGTTCGTATTTTGCTGATATACTGAGTTTTATAGTATACTCTTTTCAGGAAACTTGCAATCACAACTTTAAGGCGAAAGATGTGATGTTCAGATTAAGCGAGGGGTCGAAAACATGTCTCAGTCACCTTTTTTTCTACCCACTCTTCCTACTCTTCTTACCATACCCCATCTCAATACTACGCACAAAGATCCAATATCACCACCAGGCCCAAAATACCCAAGGAAAATAATTACAAAATCCAAGAAAGGCAAAAGATGATTTGATTGTGTTCCTTACCCCCGACACGAGCGATTTATTGGTTCACGTTTATCCTCATTGCCTAAATAGGAGCTTCTTGAGAAAAGTTTTGCTCAGCATATTAGAAGCGCTAAGTGTTGAGTTAAATGAGAGACTGTGCCGACTAGATCATGAAGGGAATTGATTTAGTGGCAGCGATCACGTCTTTGGGGTATTCGCGTGTGTTGACACTCTACTCAACGCGCACCTCCTGGTGAATATCGAGTCTAATAAATCAACCCCAGAACAAAAAATCAGCAAAACCTTTCGGCCCCCCAGCATCGGTCGCAGCTGGGAGGCTCCCCTCAGGCGAAACCCACCCCAGTCGGGAGGCGAGGGGTTTTTTGGAGGGTGATTATTTTTCGGTGGTAACAGGATTGTGTGGATGGCGCACAAGGGATTTTGGGGGAGGGGACACACACTAACTGACTGGGCCAGGCGGGCAGGTTTAATCCCAGTTTTGATGTGGGTGGCTGTCTTGTTTCGCGATATGGATGTTGTTTTGTGACTTTTGTGGGGCTGGGGGCTACGCGAGGAGCTTTGATTGGTTGGGGGATCTTTGGAATAATTTCGTGGGCCTTGACGTGGCGACAGCCGGTTTTTTCCCGTCTCATACATCCATCATACATAATCGAGAGACTCTACACATAAATCACTAGTCAAAAGGTGACCGTGTTGGATCTTGAAGCACTGCAGGTCCCAGAACAAAAACTCTTGGTCATATTTCACTCTCGAGTGATACCTTGACCTTATAGCACAACGCTTTTGCCGTCTGAGCGTCTGAGTGACCACAAGGTACGCTTTCTGGAAATGGGAATTCAGTGTTCTGCGGAATTTTGAGAGGTTGTGTGATACTGGGGATAGGCACTGTCACGTCCCACCAAATAGTCACGAGGCTTGAGTCAAGACAGTGAGAGAATGAGGGATTCTTAGTTGCGCCCATTGAGCCTCGCGTCGAGGTGCAGAGCCGAAATGGGGTGTCATGGCAGATAATTTGAAGGGGAATGCAACCCAAGGTCCCGTGATAGTCGAGGTCAAGTGAAAAAGAGAATGTAGAGGGAAAATCGACCTTGAGACAGAACCAGATCTACTAGCTATGTCTTCATAACATCAGGTTAGGTTGGAGTGCAAGTCTGTAATTTTCGCTTTCTGTCGGATCCCCTTGTGTTCCGACGAGGGTTTCTGTCATCACTTGCAAATCTTCATTTAGTCCACAAACAGGATGTGCCTAGGGAAGGGCTCTGGATCCATCAGTCCTTCCGTCCTTTTTATCGCTCATACTAAGAAACCAACAATTATTCATCCTCCCCGGACTCGCCGGCAGTAGTTCTCAATCAACGCTTCATTTAAGCTGAACGAAAACACTCTATGCCAATATCCAAAGCGCGGCCTCTTAGTGCTTGATCTGCGTGATTATGTTCAGAATGTGCCACCTGAAATTTTGATTCCAACGATCCTATAGCAGATACTTCGATCGTTGAATCGTTTTCATAACATACTTTGCGTTCACTAATGGTAAATCAGCAGGTCTCTTCACTTCAGTTTGTGGGAATATTGATCCTGAGATCTCGATCTTGACATGCAATGGAAAAATTCGCTCAAGTTCGAAGTATAAGTGTTAGCCGTTCGATCCCCAATAAACTTCTTTCTCATCATCATCATTGATCAAAAACAATAATCAACCGGCAATTTCGCATTCACACAGAAACCCTCGTTGTCCTCGTCTCCGCTGTCCCAGCGATTGTGGGGGAGGGTGGTGGAACTGCAACCGCTGGTCAAGTCAAGGCAGAATCGACTGATGCTTCTACCAAGTAAGTCATAAGCGCCTTCCTCCACTCGCCAATAAACGTGGCTAACAAACACAAAAGGCCAACTCATGAAGCTCAGTCTCATCTGGTAATGGCAAACCTCGCACCTGCATTGTCCATGATCGCTCGGGGACAGTACCACACCTGTTCCAAACCGCCAGCTTCATTCACTTCAATGAACGGCTTCGTCGGCATGGCTGGTGGTACTCCCAGTTGCTGGCTCTTCGCTGATGCCAGCTACACAACCGGTGCTAAGATCCAAGATGTCAAGTCTGATGGTATCGGAATTCTCGAGGATGGTGTTCGATCCATCTTCTATGATGCCCCAGCCACCCGACATTCCTTTTAGCGCCTTGAGTTTTTAAGTGAACATGAGTTGGGGCTGGACAGTTTAATGAAGGGCGCAGGATTTTCCTATATTTGCATGTTTGCGAGTTTCTGAAATGTTGGACTACATCTGATTTTGTCATTGATTTGTTTTTTTTGGACAATGGTTTCGAAAGATAGCACTGATTCGTTTGATTTTTTGTTTTGATTTCTGAGTTTGGGATCTTTTCTTTGGAGCTTTACTTTTGGCTTGCGATGTTTCATTTTCTTTGATCTCTTATAATTTTCACTTTGCAGTAATAAATCAAATTGGAACCCCCCTAGCGCTCTTTTCAGCATCCTTCTTGGTATACTTCTCGCTACACTTATGAACGTGCCCTGCTACTACTTGTGCAGAATTAGGAGCGCGTTTCTATGAACAAGCCTTTGGCTGAGTGGACCGGAAGTTTCTCTATCACCTGGTGATCAGGAATAAACAAGTCAAATACAGTCAAAACTTGCAAAACACTAGTAGAATATCCTTGCATTAATTATACTTCTACTGTATAAGACTTGCCCATTACTCTGGACACACTTTAAGAAGCTACTGTGCTACAACCCCCAACGTAATCAACGTAATTGTCCTAAGTCGCTTATAGTAACTTAATAAACATATATCGATTTGAAGTATCCTAAATCGTCCGTATGACTATTTTTTGTTGTATGAAGCTTTTAGGATAATATCATTCAAACTTAGGCGTATTCAAAGTAATAACTGCATCTCTTATGTTGTATATGACATTTTCCATCTAAATGTTCTGTGTCCTGTAGCCTGACAGTCATGGATCTTGAGTATGTTTATAAGTGCATTCTACTGATTCAAGGTACTGTAAGACTTACAAGTCCAGACCCGACATCCTGAGTCTTGAAAAAACCATTACATAAATGAAAGCAAGTTACGACCAACCTAATCTTGAGGCATTGACCACCGGTACTGCGTCCTTCTAGACAGGGTAGAATTCCTTTAGTCATTTTGATAATAACAGATATACCATTACAGTATTTTTCTCTTGAGTCGTAAGCGTGGCGATTCTAGTCCTTCGTTTGACAAATACTGTAGATGTTTACGGTCCCATTACCATCCCATCTTCCTCGATTCCAGACTTGAGCACGCATTAAATTGCCACCAACAAAATCAGCCTGCCACACAACAATCACCAAAAGAACCTTATCTCCGTAAAATGCCTTGTCATCTCCCACGCACCCCAGCATAACGCAAACCCGTTTAAAGTCGTACTGGGAAACATGTACTAACTGGTCGTTACTCGCATCGTTAGAATTTGTACTGCCACTCGCCAAACACGCTTCCACAAGACCTTCTCGAAGTCTGGAGTTGAGCTTGATTTCTCTTTGCCTAGTCGCCCGCTATGCGTGCGAAATACGGATACGTGCGATACAGGTACTGGAAGTATTTCAAACACTACCGGTTCGAGTGATTGGCCACTTTTAACTCTTCCAAGACTTCAGATGGGTGTTTCGTAAATTCTCCGTTCCCAACGAGCCAACCCACTTGGTCCAGACTGAAGTCCGGGGATGGGATCGGTCCCGCGCAGCTCCACTAATGTTTCCTCAACAATAACGATCACCCCACTCGACTTCTTAATCAGCAATCAACGATTCAAACAAAACTATAAACCAGTCGACAAAAAAGCTTTCTGTACTTTCACTATTCCCAGATATAAAAAGCCGTAGTTTTCTTTCAGCAGGTTTACAAAGCAACCTATAGAACGTCGACGTCGAAAACCAGTGTCCTAACTATTCAAAAATGCCTGGAGTTATGCCGAGACGTTTCGCTTAAACCTGGGCCGCGCAATGGAGTGTCTGGGAAAAACGGGAAGCTGTAGGGATGTACCCGCCGTGAGTTCTCGAGTTTGACTTTTCCAAAACTTTGTTCAAACCCGGGGTCCATTCCTTGGATGTTTCTGAGGTTTGGTGCATGGCCTTGGGTGGAGACATCGAATGAAGCATGGAGTTCAGCAAGGAGGTTTTAGCGAGAATTGACGAGAACAAGTTTAATGTCGTTGTCAATGGAAAAACATCATAGCAAAGTACGAAGAGAAGTAAAGAATTTCAAGGAACGAAGTGATTTGAAGTGAGAATTTTGATGTGGTTTGAAAGCAAATATGCAATATATTAGAGGATAGTACTGAACTGCGTCCTCCAATGGTTGCCTAACGATCTATAAGTACATTACGCGAATTTTCCGCCTGACCCTTCCTTTCCCAACCTAACCGAAGCAACAAATCATGACAAGAGACCTGCTCTACCCATTTATGCCTCTATTCCCGAGTGCTCGTGGACCCATAATAGTATTATCGTGCGCCCACATGACCCATCTGATGCTCCTTAACCCCCAAAAATTCCCAAAAATTGATATCGCTCCGTGAATGCTTTTTTCCATGCCGGTCCCCGTAAACGCTCTACATGAAGACAGCGAATGCAACACCGAGACCAGCGACGGTGACGAGTCCCCCTGACTGGGAGAGGATGACGGCCGCGTTGGTGGTGGACTTTGCTGGTGCTGCGCCAGTGGTGCCGTTGGCTTTGGGGGCGCCGCCCGCTGGTGCTGCTGCTCCTCCTCCGTTTGGCTTTGTGGTAGCAGTTGACTTTGGTGGAGAGGCACCACTTGGCTTTGGAGCGCCGGTTCCGTTTCCGTTGGTCTTAGGGGCTGGAATTGGGGATGAAGTGGCCTTTGGAGCAACTGAATCTGCGTTGACGAAAGCAGCTGCGGCGGCAATGAGGAAGATAGATTGGAATTGCATGTTGACGATAGGGAGATTTGTTTGGTGTGTTGATTTGTTGGTTTATTGATTTGTTGAAGAAGAGAAAGGCGGGTCAACCGTGAAAATATTAAAAGTAACAAAAAAGATTGATTTTTGGGGGTATTTGTTGATGAGATGAAACGAGATGAGATGAATGGAATGATTTGAAAAGAGATGCCATCAATGGTTTACTTATACCAACTGTCACTTGGCATTCCAGCACTTCATCAGGGATCAAGGTGGGTGATTTTGGGACTCTTTCAGAACATTAACCTTGCGGGGCCTGGAGTCCCTGGTACACTCAAACAAAGCAACAACACCTCTCACTGATCGGCGTGATCTTTTGATTATTCTGGGAGGCAAACACGCAAGCGTATCCACGAAGCAACATTTAAAGCCGACAATTGATGTAGCAAGGAAATCATGCAAAAAGAATGAAGATGAACGATCATCCATCCAGCACTGTGCAAGTTCTTGCTCGCCATCCTCACCGGCCTATTCTTGGCTTCACAGCAACATACAAGTACGGGGGTTTTTCAAAGTGTGAATCGAGGACTATTCAGTGTCTAATTTTGGTGGGGTATCTGTCGGTTCCTCAATGCTGGAGACCTACTCGCAGCTGCATTTCCCCGAAGTCAAACATGACAAAGCAGAACTGGAGCGAAGATCGAAGTAATAATATTGAAACAATGATACACGCACAGAGCAGAACGTGACAACTAGATTGCATACGACGTAGTCTGATCTCGTTGCACTTTGTATACACTCGAATATTGACGACCTCCATTTCAACGGCAATTGTTACCATTTGAGTTCGACAGGCTACAACAAAGTGTTTTGCTCCAAGTTCTTTTGAAGATCAAGACTTGGGGATCCGAGTAGTCCAATCCACATATAGGGCCTCAGACGAGACCACTGCCGATCATATGGACCTGGCGAACGCTTGCAATGACAAGCAAGTGTTTGTCAAGTCTTAAACGTGTGGAGCGAACGTCTTGTCTCCCCAACGGACGTCTCAGCAAACAACGAGACCCATCAACATAACGCCGCACAAACGCAACACCTATCGGCTCCCTTCTATACAGTTAAATCTTGTTCCCGGGAAAAATCCATATTGACTCGCGTCAAACATGGCAACTGTAACAGCGTCTCAGTAAAAACCTGGCCCTTCAATGCCCAGCAATGCCGAGTAATGCCAAGTTTGCGGGTATGGCGATTACTACTGCCGACATGCTTGCTCTGCTTGAGATTCTTGAGATAAGATAGCCGAAAAAGTCAAAAGGCTCACGGGCTCCATCGACCCAACGTTGTCATTTGTAGAGAAGATTTCTGGCACATGGAGTCTGTTAGAGACAGCGGTAGAGACTTTGAATCAAGGGGCCAAAGTAAAGAGACCTACATTACAGTACTGTAGTAGCGCCTCGCATTGCCATACGTCGGCTACACTTGCAGTTAGGAATTATTGGATGATCAGAATTCTGTTGATCGAGTTCACGAATATGTCTTGGCATCTTCTTGGCTCAGGGACGCCAAACTTGGTCCAAGTTCTTACTGGAAGTCATCTCGGAGAAAATAGAAGTACAAGAGAATGAAATATAGTAGACGAATGACGTAGTTTGAAAGAGCCTCAAACGTGGCTACTATGTTCGATCATGTGCAACCAAATATACATAGAGGATGTGGTTATCGAGGAAACTCTCATGCGAGCGAATAATGCAAATAATGCAAATAGAATTCTCGTATATACAAAGTGCAGTAACGAGGCGAAGCAGACGCGGAAGACTTATACTCGAATAGATTGGGCGAGAATAAATGCATTTCTGGTTGGCAAAGATAATGTTCATCCTAGCTGCCACTTTTCCACATTTTGTAAACACTCTACTGTCGCAGAAACAACCAATCATGATCTTTTTGTTTCATTTTACCTAGTAATCCGCCGAAAATAGCCGAAAGCGGAAAATTTTCGCAGGTAGGTCTTGCTACTGTAGACATTAAGCGACGATCAATTATTTTGAGTTGTTCGAGGGACCCACAATCATGCCATTTGAGACGCTATCAAACATTCTGGCATGACTGATTGATATGAAGTATGTTTTGGAGGACACTTCTGACGTCGAATCTGGATTCGTCCCGGCCACCTTCACGGGGAAAGTCCTGCTCTAAGAACTGTCTTCCGATTTGCTCTGCGTCTTCCAATTCTTGAGCCTCATCAACCGGTATCTTGGTGCAAGCAGCAATCAGATCCTCGCCGCGAGCGGTAAGCAGAATAAGTTCGTCTGCTCTCTCAACGACCGCCTTGTCTATGCCGTTCATCATAGCGCAGACTGTCCCGAAGCTTGATGTGCTTCGTTCTGCGACAAACTGGTAGAGATACGTAATCTGCTCTTCCGTTGAAGCATCTGCATCTACTCGAACCTCCATACGGCCAAACTTCAGTTCAGGCCTATCTGTGAGAAACCCATTTGTGAAAATTTCATGGAAATGGGTAGCTGCTAGTACTTTTGGGCGATGGTCACCAAGGTTGGCAAGGTACTCCAGAACTCCACAGGCTAGTCCAGCACCATCACTAGCATTCGTGCCTTTGCCAAACTCATCGATAACAACAAGACTCCGATGAGTGGCCATTTTAATGGAGAGGGCGGTTTGTTGTAGGTCAATCATGAATGCGCTCTGGTCTCTTGATACGCTCTCTCGGGTAGCAATCCTGGTCAGAATTTTATCCGTCAATCCAATTGTTGCCTTTTCTGCAGGCACAAAGCTACCGATATGCGCCATATACACAATTACTGCAACTTGCTTGAGATAAACCGATTTTCCAGAGTAGTTTGGCCCAGTCATGACGAGCATACTTGATTCCTCGACACTTTGTTGCAGATCAGATGACCCTCCCGTCGAAGGATCTTCGTTTTCATACCCGGAATCCACATCTCCCGGGCCACCCCGGATTGAACAATCGTTGGGAATATAAGAAACTGTAAGCTCTTGCAAAGGGTGTCGACCTCGGGTTATCTCAATGACATTGGATTTGGTCATTGTAGGGGGACTTAGATTGTGGTTTCGGGCTCCCAAGGCTAAAGCCACAAGACAGTCAAGTTCTCCCATAAGGTCCGAAGCAGTCACGAGTACGTTCTCGTCCTCTAGAATCTTGACTGCCAACTTATGAAGAATGTCAATTTCCTTGTCTTGAACCGAATTAGCAAAGGTAACGTTTTATGATTGACTGGCGAGACAAACCACATATCAAGGCATACATATCCCCAAAATGACGATCCATTTCCCTCATCTTGTGATTTTTGTAGTAGCCCAGGTCATCAGAGACGAACATCTTATCCCATACGTCGTTCTCGGTACCCTCCCCTTCGTATCTGCCCGTGCCCGTTTGCTGGTCAACAAGAACAACGGTCAAAAAACCAAGTTGTGGATAGAATATGCAACCTGTAACATACTGAAGCGCCCATTCAGGTAGATCGCCTAATAGGAGCCTGTGTGCTTGATCAAGAAGACTGCCCATCCCATCGTATGTTCTTTTCAAACCATCCAACTCTTCATCCACACCTTGTAATACGGCTGTACGACGTTGTTCGTCTGAAGTTTTGAAGTCTACCACTTGACTTATTGTCTGCAGAACATGTTGAAGGGACGCAGGTTCTATTTTTTCAATGATCTAAAAAAACAAACGTTAGCGAGCCAAATTGTAACATTGGCGTTTGAGCTTACTTTGGTAAAAATGGGCAATCTGTTCCCCTCAACTATCGCCCGAATATTCGAGAATATTGTCAAGGTATGATGAGTAAATTGCTGAAGACTAGCCCAAGCACCTCTGTAAATACTCCTCCCTTTGGAAGTATCAGCGATGCCTTTATGCAAATGTATTGCTACTGTTCGCATGTCCTTAATGGATTTTAGACACTTGTACACATTCGACAGAAACTCGGCATTCTCAGGACGAAGGAGAACACTGATGGTAGCCAAGCGTTCTCGGATCACTGAGATGTCCATACTCGGCCGTAAGAAAAGCTGTCGAAGTTTTCTTTTTCCTTGTGGTGTTCGGGCAAGGTGACAGAACAAGCCATACAACGACAGACTTTCCTTGGAACCAGACGTGTTGGGTCCTTGCATCTGCGTGTTTGGGTGATTTTCGGATTGCATGATTTGGAGTGAAGCCAGTGTGTCCGCGTTGATAAACATTTGGTCGGCGAGGGTAAACATTTCAATGGCACGAATCCGAAATGCGCCCAAAGCAGCTCCATCGTTAGGCAAAAATTCGATGTTTCTTCGTCGAGCTATATGGCTAAGGATTGCCCCAGCACAACCAACCTACACAAGTGGTTATTACCGATGAAATGTACCAGATGTGGAAAGGACTTACGGTAGTGTTACTTCCGAGATCAAGCCACCCTGCGAGTCTCAGAAGTTTTCCTTCTCTTCCTATACCAGAGTGCTCTCCTTCATCATGACTCCCAATCGGAGGACCATCCCCTGCCGTTCTGAACATTACTTCCGGTGCGTCAACAAACTCTAGGTTAATCAGCTTTTCTTTTGCTGCATCATATCGAAAATCCGACGCCGCTCGAATGTCAAGAGTATAGGAACCCAGCACATCATCTTCACAAGGTTTAGTTACCAAAATTGATATTGGGAATGAAGGGAAACTTACTTGCTTCTTCTCCTCTTTCGATGCCGCGCGCTTCCTTGCTTAGGTGCTGCTCTAGTCTTTCATCCGCACGTGTACTGATGACTACCGTGCTTGGTTCGACGTGAAGCTTCAGGGTATCAACGATGTCCAAATCCGCAGATTTAATATCCTGCATCAGATAAAGTGTTTCATCGCGAGCAACATAGTACGCGCAACCAATGACGCCTTTGCCTCCATAGCCTCTCATGTCGATGGCCATAATAATCTCATTCATAGAATCTGCCTCTTCTCGCTGAAGAACTTCAGATTCCGTCTCTTCGGCACCGGCTCTAATGACATCTTCATCTCGAGCCGAATGAGCCGGACCAGACAGTCGAGAAGACGGCGGAAGGGAAATTCTCTGGCGAGAAACGCTCTGAAATGCGGGGGAGCTTGAAGATGGGAGGCTCCGGCGCGCAGAGCCAGCTTGAGAAGACGAGTGCTGAGAGCGGGAGCGGGAGGATGGCGTGGATGCGCTGGCGCTGGCGCTTCCTTGAGATGACCTCTTGTTCACACGATGACGCTTGTACGACATTTTGTAGCGCCTTTACATGTGTTGATGAGGTTTGGTGTTTCTCGGGTGATGAAGAAGAGGATTTGAAGGTGCTGGGTGCGGGCAGGTAGCCGGCAAGAGCTGTCTAGGTCCAAATTTCATCGCAAAAGGCAAAAAAATGATCTAGTACAATACTCATAGAAAATGTTTGGGAGAACAAAGACTACTGTTCCCAAGCTCTGACTCTGAAAAGTAGACTCTTAAAGTCTAAACTGCCTACCTGTGCACAGAGTATAGGTAGCTCAGAGCCCTTGACCTTACGCAGGTAGGAAGAAAAGCCAACTGTTCTGCTTCTCAAACGCACCATTTTCCCTTCCTTCAAATCTCATACAGTATATACAAAAGTCAAAAGTCCTACCTACACAAGACCACAAGAAGCAAAACTTTTGTGTTGAGAGATAATCAAGCTCAAAGCTATCACACACAGTATCATCGTAGAAACACCCTCCTTGTAACCTGTAAGGGATGAGAGTGTCTACCTAAAAAGACATTAGTAGTTTGACTACTGAAACACCTGGTAACTCTACTCACAGTCTCTGAAGGTATCTTCTCTCTTTGGTGCGAAGGAATTACAGTTAGCTTAGAAGCGATTTCTAGCTAAGACTCCCTCGAATCTGTGATAAATTATTACTACCATGGTTAAGAAATACTATTGGTGAAACACATCAACATTCAATACTCCTGAGCCTCTCCCAAAGCATATGTTCTCTCCGAAACAAGAGCTTTGCGTTGCGAATAGACATAAGAGAGTATATCATTCGAGAAACTTTTTGGGTGCTGTACAATTCCTCTCATATAAAAAGCCACTCACCACATATTGAACCAAGATACACTCGTGCTCCCGTACAAACAGGCATAGGAACGAGCAATATTCATACACAAGAGCTTCAGGAACCTCTCCCTATCAAGTGACCTTTCCCTCCCCAGCCATACTAGAATACAGCCCACACAATCCCCACACCCATACCACACCACCTAAAAGCCCATAACCCCTAACTACCCTTCCCCTTCCCCTCCCTCACCCACCCCGCAAACTCCCTCCTCTGCCTCCTCACATCCACAAACCCCGGTCTACTTTCCAGGACCTTAAAAGGATTTCCCGTAAAATCCCTCTCCACAACCCCATCCCCATCCAGGAACCCCTTCTCGCCCTCCCGCTCAATCTTGCCCGCCCACACACGCCATTGAATGGGCCTCAGTTCGGGGGTGCCCAGCACGAGGCCGAGACAGATGATGAAGACCGCGACGATCGTTTCGATCGAGATGTCGATGGGGAGGGTCGCGACGACGGGAGGGGAGGTGTGTGTGGTGGGAGAGATGGAGGAAGTGGAGAGGAGTGCGGAGTGTTCGTGGGCGGAGTAGCAACTGTGGCTTGTTAGTAAGAAGACACAGAGANAAGACCGCGACGATCGTTTCGATCGAGATGTCGATGGGGAGGGTCGCGACGACGGGAGGGGAGGTGTGTGTGGTGGGAGAGATGGAGGAAGTGGAGAGGAGTGCGGAGTGTTCGTGGGCGGAGTAGCAACTGTGGCTTGTTAGTAAGAAGACACAGAGAGAGAGAGAGCGTGATGGGGATCGGGTTGGAACTTACGCGTGCGAAAGGAAGAGGACGCCGAGTCCTGTGATGGTTTTGGATAGCCAAGTCATTGTGTTGTTTTGGGACGGTCTTGCAGAGGGTCTTGTGTAGAAGCGTAGATTGTAGCTCCACGAGAGCTGTTCCGTGAAGCTGCCGCCAGGTTCGTCGTCAGAGAAGAACCTTGCAATCGGTTAGTGTTAGTAAGCCATGGAAAATCAATCAGCACAACTACTCAAACAGGCACAAAATCAACACCATCACGTTTTCAAATTACGCGATTTACAAAATCAAGGCACAATCACTATGTTATGGCACGTAAACATCTTTGGTATTCTGGTTTTTTACTGCTACGCTAGGCATCATATTCATCAATTCATGAGGCCGGTCATCATTCCCCCCGGAGAGCCAGGCTAAACATCCAGCAAGACCCTATAGTCAAATCGACATGCCGCAAATGTGATTGACCAGAAAATATGGCGAAAAAAAGTAGTTTATAGTTTCTGCATAGCAACCTGAAAATATATTAGATACAAACATGATACACAGTAGAATGGGAAAACTTACGACATCGCTCGATTGGACGTAATCCTCGAACTCGGCAATCTGATCTTGCAAATCATCAAGACTGACTTTGTCGTCCTCGATAACCAAGTTGATTTGAAGTTTCTTGATACCGAAACCAACGGCCACCAAGACGGAAGCTCCCCACAAGAGACCATCCTTCTCGATACCTCGGACAGATGCCTCTAATGCCTTCATGTCGGTCTCATCATCTATCTTGAATTAGTAAAGACTCACAGATTCTCGATGCAATATGAGTTACCCCATGGCTTAACGTCCAAGGTGACAACAGACTTAGCAGCTGGCTTGACCTTGCCCTCCTTCTTCTTCTTGTACTCAGCTAAACGCTCATTTCTGATACGCTCAGCCTCGGCATCCTCCTCCTCATCGTCACTACCGAAGAGGTCGACATCATCGTCCTCCTCCTCTGCAGCAGGGGCCTTGGCTGGGTTCAAAGTGGCTTCTGTGACCTCTGGGCCGTAGGTTGTGTACTCTTTTGATGCGTCACCAGGGAGAGTGGCAAACTCATCAGTGTATGAAGCAATGTGCTTGTACCATCTTGCAGCGTGGGGGTATTTTGCGGCATCTGATGCGGATGTTAAGGCTTTGAAGGTCGCGACATCTGCCTGGGATGGAGAGTATCTAGATGCAGCTAATTAGCATCCCATTCCTGCGACCAAACTCGAGAAAACATTTAGAGGAAGCGGAAATCAAATTCAGAGGTGCATTTGCATGCAATGGTGTATCGCCATAACAGGGTTCTTGAGGCCCCTCAGTAACACGGACCAATTTTGCTCATCATCAAAGTAGGAGGTTTCGAGGGAGGGAGCTCTGTGCGTTGAAAGCAGCAGCGCTTTCACGCAGGATAAGGACAACGACAGACGGAGAAATCGAGGAAGGAAAACCTGAACATACCCAACGACATATGAGCGGGTAGTCAACCAGCTGTTAAGCACTGCAATCAGTTAGTTTTGCTCAGCGCCAGTGGTCGCAATGTGGACTGGAGGAGGTTGGAATGGGTTGTTTGGAGGGGTAAAGCAGCTTCTTGTTGATGGCAAGAGGCGCGCAGAGGGGCGAGAAGAAGCAGAGAAAAAGCGCTTACCGGTGAGACCAGCATCGGTGAGGACATCGACGAAACCCATTGTAAAAATTTGCGTTTGGGAGAAAGAAGATGGCTGGTTTTGTAGGAAAAAAGAGATGAGGTTGAAGATGCGAAGTGGGGTCTGGAATGGAAATTTGTGCAGTGACTCCCGCCAGAGAATTGTGCCTTTGCCGCCAAGCGACGATGCCCAATCAGGTAGCCGCGGGACCGGATTATTCGCGGCCCGAGATGCCAAGACTCGTTGTTGTGAAGACCGAAAGTGGCAGAAAATTGTTGGATCTTGCTAGAGTGTTGAACCAATATTCCAAAGACCTGAGAGGAAATACGTAGAATGGTAATGTCAATTGTTTTAATATGTCGTAGTAATAGCAGATATTAATTGGAATTCTTATAAGAGCGGATGCTATTCATTGCCACATTTTCTGTCCATGTGAGCAGGGATCCTAGCACCTGTAGTTGATTCTTGAAAGCTCTAGATAGTTCCGTGAATTCTATCACTGACACAATATATTTTCCACCCACCCAGAGTTCTGGGAAATGGAGAAGACAATCGCTCGTACTCTTTGAGGCATATATTTCTACCATTCTCTGCCATCAATCAAAACCAAAATGCTCTCAAGACAAGCTCGAGTTTCTGCCCGGCGCATTGCTGCGATTCCATACGCCACCACACCGCGGGTGAGGTTTGGCACATCTCCAGCTCTCACCTCTACCGTATTCCGAAGAACGATTGATTCGAGCCCTCGAATAATCGGATCTACCACCCTGCGTCGGAATTATGCCAATGGCAGACCGCAACCGCCGGGTGGCGCATATCAAATGAACCTTGGAGGAGGGGAACAAAAGTCGGCATTGGAGGAATACGGTGTTGACCTGACTGCAAGGGCGAAGGAGGGAAAACTAGACCCAGTAATTGGTAGAGATGCGGAGATCCATCGAACCATACAGGTCCTCTCACGGCGAACGAAAAACAATCCTGTGTTGATTGGAAGCGCTGGTACTGGAAAGACTGCTATTCTGGAAGGTCTTGCGTCACGGATTGTCAAGGGAGATGTACCGGAAAGCATCAAGAATAAGCGAGTAATATCGTTGGATTTGGGTCAATTAATTGCCGGCGCAAAGTTCCGCGGAGACTTCGAAGAACGTCTCAAGAAAGTGCTGAAGGAAGTACAGGATGCTCAGGGTTGTGTTATACTCTTTGTGGACGAGCTACATACTCTCCTCGGGCTCGGAAAGGGTGAGGGTAGCATGGATGCCAGCAATCTCCTGAAGCCTGCACTCTCGAGGGGAGAATTACAGTGCTGTGGTGCTACAACTTTAAACGAGTACAGAGCAATTGAGAAAGACGTTGCTTTGGCTCGGCGATTCCAACCTATACAAGTTAATGAACCAACCATACAAGACACCATCTCGATACTAAGAGGTATCAAGGAGAAATACGAGGTACACCACGGTGTGAGAATTACGGACGGTGCTCTTGTTGCTGCAGCTACATATTCCAATCGCTACATCACTGACCGATTCCTACCTGATAAAGCAATCGATTTGATGGATGAGGCAGCCAGTGCTTTAAGATTACAACAAGAAAGCAAGCCTGATGACATTATGCGATTGGACCAAAGGATTATGACCATTCAAATTGAGCTTGAAAGTCTGCGCAAAGAGAAAGACATTGCGAGCAAAGAGCGTCGAGAGAAGCTTGAAGCAGACCTCAAAGAGTGTCAAGACGAAGCTAAAATGCTGACAGAAAAATGGGAGAAGGAAAGGGCTCTAATTGATGGCGTCAAGAAAACCAAAGAAGATTTGGAAAAAGCACGGATCGAATTGGATCAAGCTCAGAGAGAAAACAATTTTGGTCGAGCTGGAGAGTTGAGATACTCAGTTATTCCCTCGCTTGAGGCCAAACTTCCCAAAGAAGGCGAAAGTCAAAACACTCCTGAAGGCGGATCTCTGATACACGATTCTGTCAATGCAGACGATATTGCCGCAGTAGTATCTCGAGTGACAGGAATTCCAGTTACAAAACTTACATCAGGACATGCTGAAAAACTGATCCATATGGAAGATACTCTACGGGAATCCGTTCGAGGACAAGACGAAGCACTTCGAGCTGTCTCCAATGCAGTCAGAATGCAGAGAGCAGGACTAAACGGAGAGAATCGACCTCTGGCTTCCTTCTTTTTCCTAGGCCCAACAGGTGTCGGCAAAACCGAGCTATGCAAAAAGATGGCAAACTTCTTGTTCAGCACAGAATCAGCCGTAGTACGTTTCGACATGTCCGAATTTCAAGAGAAACACACAATATCCCGCCTGATAGGAAGCCCAGCCGGATATGTAGGATATGACGACGCAGGACAATTAACCGAAGCTGTTCGAAGAAAACCCTACGCAGTCCTCCTTTTCGACGAATTTGAAAAGGCACATCGCGATATTTCAGCACTACTCCTCCAAGTCCTCGATGAAGGCTTCCTAACCGACGCCCAAGGCCACAAAATCGACTTCCGCAACACATTAATCGTCTTCACCTCCAACCTCGGAGCGGACATCCTCGTCGGAAACAACCCAGAGCATCCCTACTCCGAACAACCCGACGGCGAAATCGCACCCACCGTCCGCCAAGCCGTTATGGACGTCGTGCAACGAAACTACACGCCCGAATTCCTCAACCGCATCGACGAATTCATCGTCTTCAAACGCTTATCCATGGACGCTCTAAGAGATATCGTCGATATCCGTCTCAAAGAACTTCAGGCTCGTCTTGATGATCGACGGATCGTACTCGATGTCAAGGACGATGTGAGGGAGTGGCTTGCAGCCAGGGGATATGACCCAAAGTTCGGAGCGAGACCACTAAATCGGCTTATTTCGAGGCAGATTGGGAATGGCCTTGCGGATAAGATTATTCGCGGAGAGGTCAAGAGTGGTGATAGAGCGCTGGTGAGGGTTAGTAAGGATGCTGGGGCTTTGGAGATTGGGACGGCGGAATCGTTTGGAGCGTAGGCGTTGGGTATTGTATGATTTATGATGTATGATTTATGGTCTTTTTTGTGTATTTGGAAAATTGCGATTAGCGGCATGGAATGGTTTGGTACTGCATCTCGGCTCTATTTGTTTGAGTGTAGGATAGGGGAGGGGCGTTAAAAGCATTGAAACTGTAAATACTCTGCTCAAAAATTCATTTGTAAATTTGATGGATACCCTTCCTCTTCTTCATAGGCCTATTTAATCAATCCAAATGGCTACCTAACTCAACTCCATTGACCGAAAAAGATGCTTCTGGCCATTAAAGTTTCGAACGCAGATACAATGTTAAATGCTGTAGCTAAATCATACCTATACGACTCAACTTGGATTTAGAATCACTTCACCAGCGAATCATATTGCTTTTCTGGGCAGGTAGGTATGTTCTTGTCATCACTTCGTCCTAGGCAAATCAATTGCAGCTTTCTCAGGAGCTTCTATCCAGTTCTTCAATGAAGCCACTCTTGGACAAAGTATATATCGAGAACAAGTAGCCGTACTATATAAGCCTACCTTTTCTCATTTGCCTTTTAGTTATATATATATGATTGTTTCGAAAGTCGTTGACTAATTGCGGATTTTCAAAGGACTAACATGTATATTTTCAATTGAGAAGGTTGCAGGAGAAATATTCCTATATGTGGTTGCATTTTCCGCTTCTAGACCTTCATGATGGGATAGAGCATTCTATAGAGGATTTCGGGAATGGATGGAATTCTACTCGCTAAACGTTCATGAGAACAGATATTAGAAATTCTCACATGAATATATGTATATCTACAGCGCTCGGCAACTGAAATTCTATTCCATACTAGACGCCCTATAGAATATATTATGCTATTTGTACGAACCTCTAGCATATACTATTCTATATAGGGGTAGTTCTATAGCATACCATAGAACAATTTTACGTAACCCAGAGTAGAGTTTCCCGGTCCGAAGACTAATAGAAGTCCTTACTTTTACTTAGCGCCAAGAGTTAGTAACTCCTAGTGGACAGGATAAGTGGTAGACTTATTTAGTATGGCGCAGGCGAGAAGCTACGCTAAGTCTGCCACATATCTTATCCTCCGAGAGAGTGAGTAGTATACGAATAAGCTGTTCCAGGTTAGCTTAGTACGTATTCGTCACGTATTCTAGAATGCTAGAGCCTATTTAATAAACTAAGTGTTTTATTTATAAGGAGGTCTAGAATTATTCTATATGGAATAGAGGGAATCTATAGAATCGAGTACCATTTGCCGAACGCTGTATATAGGATGATAGCGTATATAAGCCAATATAGCATCCAAAATGTACATAGAGTCTGTAGCTTCTAAGAATACCTACCGGATGTTTTCAAGGTCCCTCCGTAGCTTCCAAGCACATTATCTAGATGGATTAGATTGACCTCCCAGAGTAAACCCTTAAACTTATACCTTCACAAATATAGTACCCATGTCTTCGTACCGTAACTTCCGAAGCTTTGTTGCTGTATTTATACCAGTATATATCTGACTGTTTGGTTCCCGTGATCCTTAACTTTGCTTTATCTATAGATTGGCGATTGAGGAGGGGCATTTTCGCAAGAGCACACATACAGTCCCGAGATCTGCATTCGTTTTTTCACGATGCTTTGGATAAGCTGAGAATGGTTCTGCGGCTTGTATCTTCTTACGTTGGTTGATTTGCTACAGTGAGTGGAAGATTTGTGGTGGTGGTATTTGTATTTACTAACAGTGAGAAACCACTTCCCATTACGCCGAATGCCAAGAGACTTACCGGTGAAGATAGTTTACCAACTCCCTGGACTTGATTTATTTTCCTATCAATGAAAAGGGGGTAATTGTTCGTAAGGTGACAATGATGTGCGGTTATTGTTCTCATGACCCCCACTCTATTCAATTCGTGTCTCGGCAGCCACAACTTTTGATCCGTCGCATAACAGATGAAGACCAGTTACTTGTATATGACATACTGCCATGAGTAAGTGTTCTTGGATTTCGCCACGCGACCTTTCTTCACCCAACTGCATCTTCCTGTTGTGTGATAGCTTTGGGATTCAGATGTGATGTGACTCGAGAATCCAAGCTCTTCATTGGTAGCGAGCGAAGCGAGATATCCAACAGCTTGGGAAATGGGATGAAAGGCACGGAAAGGTTAGCGAGTTCGGATAGGAGAGATGCTGATTCGTTTACCGCACCTCGTACCGTATTCGGGTTCCTTCATCCACCTAGCAAGGCCACGATCGCATCGTCATTGGCTATTCACCTCTTTACTTTCTGCCTTTGGTACTCGTACTACCATTCGAACGGGGCCCAGAGATTCCGGCGCCGAAGTTGTGCAGCATTGTGCAGGGGGTGACTTTTTTGCACGAGAGGAGGGAACGTCGTCAAAAGAAGGGGAAATGAACTCTTTTTCTCCTCCCGCGTTGGAGGAACTTCGATCGCGTCGCGATGCCCTCGATTTCGTGTGGTTGAACGAAAATCAGTGCTTGTATTTCCAGCCCAGCCTTAGCCCAGGCTTTCCCTAGCCAGCTGCCAGCACGCGGGTGTACGGTACCTGTCTCAAGTCCCGCAAGTTCGAGCGGGTGGCGCCAATCATGTCCCTTCCTTTGGCGGCAAATCCCGAGGCTCCAGCCCACCAAGACCACCACCAAGAGGCCCATACGGAGAAAGATGAGGTTAATCCAACGACGACTGCGAAATCCGTCAACTCTGTAAGCGAACAGAATGGATCGAGTAAGGGGGTGGAGGCCAGTGGCTCGTCGGCCGAAATCCCTATGGTTGACGAGAAATCTGTGAAGAAGGAAGATGATGGGGTGGTTAGCATCCAACAGGAGAAAGATGGGAAGGAAAAGGAAGAGGAAGAGGAAGAGGTTGAGGATCAGATAGTCTACCCTGGCGGACTGAAGCTTGCACTTCTTACTTTTGGTCTGTGTACGGCGAATTTGGCCGTTGCTTTAGGTACATACCTTTTCTTTTTATTTGCCTTTGGAGATGTTGTTCAGTGACAAAAAAGTCCAAAACGGTCATCAAGTTCAACTCTTCTGAGTTTTACTACATCTTATACTTTCCGACGCTAATAAACATCTTCAGACAACTCAATACTAGCCACTGCCATTCCCAAAATCACGACCGTCTTTCCTAATTCTTTAAAGGATGTTGGATGGTATGGATCAGGTGTAAGAAAACCATTTACAACGATTCAGGATTGAGTTCTATGAAGACTCTTTGGTCTATTCTCTTATATAGATAGCAACAATTACTAACTCCTCCAATACAGTATCTCCTCACAACCACTGCCTTACAACCCTCATTTGGTCGAATATATACATATTTCAATGTCAGAAATACATACCTAGTCGGCCTTCTCCTCTTTGAGGTCGGTTCTATAATTTGTGCCACTGCTCAGAACTCAGTCTCGCTTATCATCGGACGAGCTGTCGCTGGTGCTGGAGCAGCGGCTCTATTCTCTGGATCAATGATCATTATTGGATTTACAGTGCCACTGGGCACGCGGCCGTTTTACATTGCCTGTTTGTCAAGTATGTTTGGAATTGCTTCAGTTGTCGGACCGCTGCTTGGTGGAGTATTGACCGATCGTGTCTCATGGAGGTGGTGTTTTTGGGTATAATTTGATTCATTTTCCTCGGGCAATTCTGTCACTAACACTCAAACTTCAGATAAACCTTCCTTTTGGGGGTATTGCGGTCATAGCCATCATTGCCTTTTTCAAGCCCCCCAAACGCAAAGAGAGTACTCTGAGCATCAAGCAAAAGGTCCTGGAAATTGATCTCTTAGGGGCCTTTTTTCTCATCTGCGCCATTATATGCTTATTATTGGCACTTCAATGGGGAGGATCGACTTATCCATGGAAGGACTCGAAGGTTTGGGGTTGTCTTCTCGGGTTCGGACTTATCATTTCGCTCTTCATAGGTCAACAATTCCGTCGTGGCGACAGAGCTACGATTCCTCCTAGGATTTTCAAACAACGGACAGTTTTGTTCTCGAGTCTTTTCTCCTGTTTCTTGTCTATGGGATTATATGTATGTCACCTGCACTTTATTCCACAAGATTTTGCGCTAACGCTAAGCTAGGTCCACGTCTACTTTCTGCCGTTTTACTTTCAAGCTATCAAAGGAACAACAGCAGAAGGATCGGGAATCAGAACTATTCCTTACGTCGCCACCATCACCGGTGCAGCCGTGGTTGTAGGACTCGGAATCACACTCCTAGGACCTTACAAACCCTTCATGATAGTCGGAGCAGCAATCTACACTGTCGGAGCAGGATTGATCTACCTACTCAAAATTGACTCTCCCGCCAAGGACTGGATTGGATTCCAACTACTCTCAGGAATTGGTGCCGGTGCAGGAGTCCAAATCCCCTTCGTCGCCGTCCAAGTAGTCCTCAACAACCGAGACATGCCAACGGGAAACGCTATAGCAATCTTCTCCAATTCCCTTGGCGGCGCAATATCCATCTCAATAGGACAAAACGTCTTCTCCAACGGACTCTATAAATACATTCCCACATATGCGCCCAATATCCCAGTGGATGTCGTTGTTTCGGCTGGCGCCACTCATCTGAGAGAGGCGATAGAAGGTATCGATCCTACGGCTTTGCCGAACGTGTTGGTGGCGTATATGAAGGCTATTAATGAGACTTTTATTATTGCTATTGCGGTGGGATCTTTGGCGACGATATTCGCGTGTTTTGTGGAGGGGAAGAGTGTTAAGGGGAAGAAAATTGAACAGGGTGCTGTAGCGTGAGGTGGTTTATTTTAGGGATTAGGGGTTACTTGCATATATCTTCATAATTCAATTCATTTTATTTAGCTTTTTGAAAAGAGAGTGAATACTTGCATCATTTTTGAATTTGGACACTGAGACAAAAGGTGGCTGGCTAGTTGATTAGTAGGTGACTCTACTGGTTTTATCGTTTTCAAGTTTTTAGATTGATTTTAGGGGTTGAAGGCGGAGATCTGGTAAATTAGTATCGCATTTCCTTCACTTCAGGACAATCGTATAACATGGGTTAACTGGGAGCAGTTCGAAGAATCACAAATGCTTACACAATAACCCAACAAGTGGTGGCGATCAGCAAACTTGTGAACCTTAGAAGTAAGTGATCTAGTACGATGCAATGCTTCAAGTGGAAGAACGAAAGAATAGAAATTACTCACTAGAATCTACATCTTCTTCCTCCGAATCATCTCCCTCAACACCCACGCACGTTAAATCTCCTCTTAAACCTCCAGTCCAAACTCATCATACACAACAACTTTCCGTCCCTTAATAACCCTCTCCGCCTCTTCCGCCTCATAAACCTCCCTCCTCCTCCTTATTATCAGCCTCCTCTCTCCTACCGCTTTTATAGTAATACCTTCTATCCCCTTAGAAATATATCCTATTATAATAAATCTATAATACCTCTACCTCTGTTGTAGGAAAATACACAATCGACCTCCCATCCTCAATGAACAATCCTAGATCCATGAGCTCCCCCTGGCGCCCGTGTACGCTCTTAGTACCGCTCAAGGGGGTTTGAACAATGCCTTCACTATTGGATTAAGCAGTCCTTGTTCTATAACTTAAGGGCATTGTTCTTTCTTATGCTTGCAAAGAGTAAGGACTACGAAGCTTCAACTTGGTAACCCTAGCTTTGTTGGTGCGGAATGTACGAAGCATGCTGTATTGCCAAGCATTTACAGATTATTTAGTCGTTAGGATTTAGAGGAAAGTAAAGAAGGGTAGAAGGAAAGACTGATTTAAGTGATTATATACACCCACACATTTTCGCAGGCCGGTATCCCCTCTTTTTGGTTGGATATCTAGTAGTTTTGAATTTCCAATTTCTAGATAGGCCTCACTGGGAAAACTTTTGATGGCCTTGGCCTTCTCTTAAAAGGTATACATGTCGCGTAAGCTAAGGTTATCCCAAGTTAGAAGAAGAGAGTTTAGGACAAGAGAGAATTAAAATGTTTTGTTGTGCTGGGTCTACTTTCTCTTTTGCTCCACTTCCTTATTTGATCCACTTATAGTTCTGCTGCCTAAATGCTTCATGTCTGCCTAAACCTTACACTCTTTATATAAACACCTTAGATAGCTACCTTTTACAATGCAATCAATTCTCCATGACCTTGAGTACCCAATACCCTTTCAACCCAATATGTTTCTACTGCTGACGAAGACTGCCGACGTCGTAAGCTCGACGAGTATAGCAACACCGAGCGCGAAGCACCAGTCAATGAATCTAAGGAAATCGGGATCTCGAAAGAAACCAGACTTGTCACCTCAACACATGCTAATCATTGAAGATATGGTTAAACAACAACCCGTACTTACCATCTCATCCACGTTCTAGTTGCAAGAAAAGCCTAGCTTGCTTCTGGAAACTTCCTTTCTTCGGGTATCTCAAATTCACTCTCATTGTTTCAAGTCTTCAATTTCTCAGATAGGTAACTCACTTTCACGAAAATGGTTATCGTCATTGTAGCCTAGTGGTCAAACACAGAGGTCGAGCCTAAAGAAAACAGTTCGGCTGTTTCTAACCAGGTGCCCCTTCCCTTGTAGTACAGGTTTGGGGATGGATCTTTTGCCATTTTTTCTTTTCGTCTTTTTAAAAGAAGAGCGATTGTTGTGTCAGTAGAAATAAATTTTTGGAGATTGGAGTTATTAGGGAGGTATGCATGGGGAAATAAGTTCAAATAACGCTGTGTGTTTCTTAGGTATATAGTGAGTTGTTTTAAGGCTATGTACAATAGTTCCCCCGGCGCGTTACCGCAGTTTTCGTGCGCTATACCAGTGAGTTATAAGCCGATGGATTTGCGTTGAAAGAACATTATCAAGAAACAAACTATCTTCCCTACAAGTAGAACAGCCATTTCCAGTATCCCCAGAATCTGATTGATTCACCTCAAAGCGTCACCAAGCAGTAGAGAACACAGATCTGTGCACGTAGTACTTCATTCAACGAATTACCTTGAAATTCCCACCTACACACCCTGTAGTGAAGTCGAGCGATCATGGAGTTTTCAATCCGTCTCTCTTCTCGGCTAGACTCGCGCGTACTATACTGGCAGTGGCTAATTTCTGTAGGTTATCAGACTCACGTGTTCCAGTTAAGAGCCATGTGAATATTCCATATTTTCCGAGAAGAAAAGATATTTTGACGGTGAATGTTTATTTGACATGTGTAATACATTCGGATGACATAGGTAAGGATTGAGTGCTGTGCTGTACAAAACTATTTTTTGAGACATTTAGTGATACAGGAGTACGCGGTGAACAAGAGAAACTGGTCTGGCAGTCTTTTGCCTTCCATAAGTGGCGACAACAACGCCAGGGCGCATGGCATGTTACTGATAAACGATGATAGCTTGCCCTGTCGCTAGGAATTTTCGAACATGTAAACTTCCATCAACAGCTGGAAACGTCGTTGTCGTGGGTCATGACAGCTTTGTGTAATACTAGGATGTTGAGATTCAGGAAGTGCTTTTCATTCTCTACTTTTATATTTAACAGAGAATCCCCGGATGGTCAACTAAATTACACAATCACAATTCCCGCTATATCACAGGATTACTCAGACTGTGACCTGTATACGCGATGAACTAGACACTTTCCTGGTCTTCTCAACTGGGAAGTGAAGCTCGCCTATGTATTAGATTACCGTACAAAAATAGTAAAATTAATACTATTACATAAGTCGAAATCACTTCTACTCTCTGTAAAAATTGAAAGGCTCTAGGAAACAAGTACTGTATGACATTACTCGGCAATAGGCGCGACAAACACTTCCTAGCATTCTTGGGTTTTACGACCCTGATATGGCATCATTGCGCGCAAGCAAAGAAAGTTGGAATACAGGAAAGGTTGAGAGAACCATGTAAGTTGGATTTAACGTAGCGTTCTGACGATGAAAAATAACAAGTTCCGAACTGGCCGCACAGTACGACGAAAGTGGAAAGGAGCATGTAAACCAATGCATTACACTCTGCAAGGGTGGACATACAGCGCATTGCTCAGCAATGAGCGTCAAGGCACTGAGTCCGTCAATCCAGACAGTTAAACCCAAGCAGACCTGCCCCCAACATAAAAGCTCGCTTGCTAACCCATGCTGGCAAAATCCAAAAAAGGTCCTCATCCGAACATCTCCACTTTCCCAACAACAAAATCCGTTTCGGCAGTAAACATTCCCTCGACACCCGTCCGACGTTCAGAGGAACCCCTGTAAGTTACTTCACAGTATAAACCCCATTTGAAATCATGGCTTTTCTCTGCTTCGCCCGCTTAGTCGCAGTATCTGATGCTCACCACGAGATCTCTGGATTGGTATCGTATCGTTGTAATGCATTATATTCGTTGTGGCGACGGGGTAGTATCCGAGTCTCGACGGAACGAAGGAAATGTTGTAGCAATAAGGTTGGCTAGACCCTGGTTTGCAAAGGCTCGTGACAGGTTCGGGTTTCCAAGTTATCTTTCGCTGCAATGTTGCGACTCTTTTTTATTTTCAGAAGGGTTCCCTGGTATCGCATATCTCGTATACTCTGTTGAGACCTAGGATTCGGATTTGGGCGAGCTGCACGTAATGAGTACAAGGTAGGTACGAGTGGGTAATGATGTTTAGGAATGAGAGGTGATTTCGGGGTTTGGAGTTGGAATTTTTAATGTGGTGCTTTTCATCTTTTTATCTGTCATTAAGCTTTTATCTGTTTATGTATACTTGGAGAGAGATTTTTAGGTAGGTATTGCTTATCCCCTCAATGCTTAGTACATACGTCAGGGATTTCAAGTTCGTCCCATCCACTTTTAGTCTTGGTACCTGCGACGGTTTCAACGTTTATAGTCTTTAGTGGTAGGGAGCCCCCGTTACGCGCCCATGCATTATTCCGGTCCGACCACTCTGATTTAGCTGAACCCTTATAAGCCGAACCTTGTTCTTCTCACCTTTTTTATATAGATATGCTTAATATTAACTGCTTGTTCTCGGAAAATCATCGCTTAATCAAGGTTCGGCATTTGGGATACGATTCCAAGGATTCTAAGATTCTATTCCAAGGTAGAATATTCCAAAGGCTCCTCTATTTAGAATAGAATATTCTAAAGGATAAGGCCTTGGATATATATATATTACAACTAATAAGAGAGCTCTATTTGCTATAAAGTGTGATTGTAACGTCTCCTACGTATAACTCCAAAGCCTGAATCTCCTTTTCTTTCAATTCTTTTAATATATCCTTATATAGGGGCGATAATATTAATAGTAGACAATTAATTAGTATTTACTCTTAGTAAAAGTACGTGCTCTCAGTATATCTTAGTAGTAATACACGTACTTGCTCTATATATTGTTTGACCTAGTACGCTACGTGACAAATAGTAATACTAAGGCTAAACCTAGGCTTTATATTAGTCGCTCGGACCGGAACTACTACTTTGCAGGTTACGTGTTAATTCCAATTGAAATTCCAAATATTCTACCCTTTGGAATTGTGAGAGGCCAGACCTCGAATAGCTCAAAGGTGTGGTTTCGAATATTCAATTAAGAATTACGTGAAGACTACATACATGCGAGCTCTTCCTCTATATATAGAGAGGAAGAGCTTCCTGAATATTCCAAGAAACTTGCAAGAAACTTGAATGACGAATACATGATGTCAGAAGAATAAAACAAGAAAGTGTGGAAAAGTAGAAACCTGTTTGGCAGTGGGGTAATGGCCAGTGCTAAGCAGGGACTTTGGTCAGTGCTTAACGAGGACTTTGGTCAGTGCTTAGCGAGGGCATGGCCCGAGCCTCCATCATGGGTTCCAACCCTCACATTATTTGTATCTCTTCAAGAGAGTCAGGGTTGATTCTGGCTTTCGTATGAGAAATAGCTAGATACCCTTGTTTATAGTCGTATTATAGGTGTCCGATAGCTGCCTATAGTAATAGCTAGAAATCTCGGTCCTTAGACCATTAATCACCTCTCTTCACTTGTACCCATTATATCTACAAGCTATTCCAAACCTGCTATAATACGAAAGAAAAATTATATCGATTCTTGCACTATGCAGATCCAAAATCTCCTTGTTCTCGTTACTTTGACGACTAGTGTCTATGGGGCTGGTTATGGCGTCGCATGGTGTCAAGGAGAAAAAGTAAGTCCTTGTCTTTCAATCTATTCAACTTCGGGGACAGAACACGAAGGTGTATAGTATCTAGATTCTAGAACAACATTTCACCTTGATGTCAAATAAAGCTATTCTAACATGGAGATAGGGCGTCCCCCTCAACTTGGCCACTGAACAAGTGTGCAAGGACCTCATCGGGAATGGCTGCACCGGTTGCAAAGTGGTCAGGATAGATCATTTTGTCACGCCAGTTGCAAATTTTAAAATCGAAGGCCATGATAGTGGAAACAGCATCGCTCCTCAGAAGTTAAGAAAACATATCATTCTAGCCTATCAATATAAATGAGGGGAAGCTAATGATATCTTGAAATAGTGGCTTGATGATTGCCGTTCAAGGGGGGCTGTAACCGCGGCTGGGCAATAGTTGGACAGATGAATGGAATTGTACAGTAGACAACTTTTACAGAACGAGCAAGAGATATAAACCTCATTGATTCTCTCCCCTTTCCTGAGAAAAAAAGGGAAAAAACACTCCGGTAGTCCTACCCCGCTCACTGCCATCATGCCTTTTATTTCTCAGGATCAATTTCATTACCCCCTTCATTTGAAATCCTCTACACATAACCGCATACACAATTAGACATACATATATCTGCGCGAACGCTTTCACGACTTCCTTATAAAATTCTTGTTGTAATACCCTGTAGTCAAATGTGGAGTTCAAACATGATTTCCGCAGGAGATAGTGATACGCCACACAAATCTACGAGAGGCAACGATACGAAGGGGAATCTCAAGCGGTTTGGAAGAAGTAGAAACATGAAAACCACGGTAGCCCATGTAGATGGCATAGATACGTTTGTTATTTCAAAGGCTGATCAGGTATGTTTCAAGGCAGCACACCAACCTACTCAGTATACAGGCAGGCTATGGTTTGGGTAGACATCCAACAACGTCAGATATTCTCCATTCAGCGTCTTTGAGGTCCTCTACGGTCCCAACAACACCAGCACAAAAGGGGTCAGTCTTGTCTAAGCAAATGTTGAGTACCTACTGACGAAGTCAAAACAGCTGCAGGGTACGAAGAAGCAAGAAATGATCAACTTCCCAACTCAGAACAAAGCTGTTTGTGCCACCAAACCTATATGCAAGGAGGAGAAAGATGAGAAGAAGTCTGTCAACATCGACAGTCCAAGTTTATCTTCCTATCTCGATCAGCGAGAAGAGATAAAAGAATCAGTTTTCTTTGTGAAGACGATAACGGCAATGATGAAGAGAAGATGTTATGTGTAACATGGTCGTGTAAATCTTTTTCTTGTAACTTTTCGTCAAAAATACTACTAATAAGAAGAAAAGGTGACCTCATCATTGAAAAATAGTTCAATAGCTGCCATAACAACAAGTCGCACATTCTCTTAAACCTTCTAATTGAATGTAAAGACAAATAATATTGAGGCTAAGGCGATATGCTCAAGTACCGCCGGTACCAATAAAACTCCTCCACAACTACCTGTGGCTGCTTCTCTCCCTCTTTGAAGAGCTCTATGATCCTTTTCGACGGTTTTACCAAAGGCTGCCAGTAAGACGAATCTCACTAAGGTTCTATGTAATGGCTTCAACAGAGAGTCGTGAAATGATAGCAACGAGAGAGAGAGGCCAAATGGTTGGACTTTCCCGCCCTCGAAGCGTACTACGAAAGCAAAGGTAAGTGTTGCCTTTATATTCAACATTTCTCTTCCCCATTTCCTCTGTAGCTACGCTATCAAGTACAGTAGTTTGCTAATTCTTTGTATCTTTGAAGACGATTAGGGCATGGCATAGCTATATTGATGTATTTACACACGTAGCAAAATCTGTTGCTGCAGAGGAACATTCACCCGTCGTTAAGCCGATATAAGGAGGCGAAAACATGGGCGATGTAGAGGATAGGGTATCTGTCTGGTTTTCTTTTTGAGGGAGAGAAACCCAAGAAAGAAGCTAAAGGTATTTTGCAAATGACTCTCCTTCCTTTCTTTACTAATTACCTTCCTTATACAGTAGACAACACAACTCGCGTTCTTGAGTTAAGTGATGAGAAGATTTGTTTTGACCATAAATTATCCAGAGGAAATTCGAACTCATCTACTCTCTGTATGCTGCCCAAATCGGTTTCCAAAACCCCATCGTCGGAAGATGTGAAGCATTCCTCTCAAGATTTAGATTCGACTGACGATGATGTGGTATTGTTATGATCCTTTTTCTTGTGCTGCTTTGTACTATCTAATTCTTTTGTACCATAAGTGAAAGTTCGAAGAATCTTTTAAACAGATGTGGGAGGAAATGAGGAGATATTACAAGAGCTAGGCGGAGATGAAGATGAGATAATTACCTGAGATAAGGAGGCAAATGAGCACGTCTTATATGTGCAGAGTACTCTTGATAATTCGCTGGAGTGAACGGTAAGCTTTCAATAATTAATATGGATTTCAAATTGCTAACAACATTGGAGGTTGATGTTTCGAACCTGAGAAGCGGGCTTCGAAGATTGATACAATACAGTAGCCTACATAGATTTTCCCGCCTTCGACAAATTCGTTGATCAAATCAATAGAATACGCTGTCCTCCTCCAACCCAAGCCAGCTAATTTGTTTGAGAGATAAATGGCCGGCTCAAGAGGATACGATGGACAGATTCTGGGGTTCTTGGATCGATGCTGGCTTAGAGAGAAAGTATTTAACCAAGGCGTCAGGAACCTATTCTACGATTCCATCCCATCATCGAAATTACCCGACGTGTGCATATTCGAACCGTAAATTTGCTATGGTACGGAACGCATCAAATCAGAGCCTATCAATTGAATGTAAAAGGTTTGTGGGAGGGGGGTGAAAAATGCCTAACGTGGGATGTTTTTCCCGCGAGAGTAAAGATGAAAGACTAGGGTGACAGACATTATCCTCTCGTGTGGTACTCGGCCTTTGAGGATATGTCTCTCTAATACTTTACTGTGGTAGTTAGTTTTTGCTATGACCTGATAACTAGGAGAAAATGACGCAAAAGCGCGTAAGACAAGCGATAGCCGAGAGGCAAATAGGACGGCAGCTTTAGCCACCAGCTTTTAACAAGGGGTAACCCTATCCGATCAAGTCCGATCCGTACTCGGGACGTTCCCCTCGTTACCTTACCGAATTAAAACCCGATTCTGGAATCTAGACCAGATTTCCTCGTAATTTACGCACTATAATCCTATTCTGTTGCCGTTTCTCGTATATTTTACAATTAGAATTTACTTATATCGCCTTAAAGAGAGTTCTATATAGGTAGTCTTATGGGTTAATCCTAGTTTTTATACTGGAAATAGCTAGATACACCTGTTTATGATCGGTGGTCGTATCATAGGCGTCCGATAGTAGTCTATATAATAACTAGAAATCTCGACTCTTGCCTACTCCCAAGACCTGTACGCGAAGGCTTCTGTTCTACTTATTCGTGAAACTACTCTCCGCTGCTGTACTACGAAAGAAAGATTACATAAGTTCTTATAAGATGCAATTCCAAAATCTCCTTATTCTCGCTACTTTAGCGACTAGCGTCTATAGTGCGAGCCCTGCGCCGACGCCCGCGCCTGTTACGGGGTATAAGATTACATGGTGCCAAACAGAAACCATAAGTCCTCGACTGTCCTTCTATTCGGATAGATTCGGGTACGAATCAGTGGGGGGTTTGATCTATAGCATCCTAATGTCAAAAAAATACACATTCATTCTGACACGTGAAGACAGGGTGAATATGATTATGCATCAACGAACACCGTATGCAACTGAATGATCCAGGACTGGGGCAAGTGCAAGGATTGCCAACTCGAATTATACCCTTCAACATGCTTGAGTAATACAAGAGGGATTGATGCTCACGTAGTACTTATTTTCCGGCCTTTCAATATAACCAAGGGAAAGCTAATTGGATTATTAAATAGTGGCAAGATGAATGCATCTTTAACGGCGCGAAATCAGTGGCGGGGACGTGATTAGAGAGAGAAGTTGGTTAGAAAAAGTAGTAGAAGTCTACTTTTTCTAAGCGACTAAGAGATAGAAGTCTATATCAAAAGGAAGAATAGGAATTGTATTTTAGTTTTATATGTATTAACTTTGATTCGAGAAAAGAATATTAGGAAAGAAAAGTTCCAAGAGTAGTAGTAGCCCTATCCGTACTTCAGCCGTAGTATATTAGCGAATTGCCCGTATTATACGAAAATCCCGTCTTAATTATATACGCTTTTAGGGTAGAATGATAGTTAATTCCGATCCAAACTTGGGATATTCCTTGTTCCTTAGTCGAATTAGAACCTACCTAATTCGGGACAAGGTTTCCTTGTTAGCACTGACCGTAACCGTACTCTATTTCTGTCAGTGTTTAGAATCTCCCCTCTCCTCTCCTAACTACTAGGAGAGGAGTAGGAGATCTATATCTTTAGCTAGGAGAAGGAGAGGAGAATAGGTTACTTATCTAGAAAGGAGTAGATAAGGAGAGGTAGGATTTAGGAGAGGAGTAGGAAAGAGAGGCTAAAATAAGGTAGAAAAATAAAGTTGTTTATAAATCTAAAATCTAACCAAATATTATATATTCGATACAAGCTCTCTAAAATTACTCTAATTACCTTAGTCTTTTTTTATACTAGCTCTTTACCTATTAAATATTAATTAACGTGGTTTATCAGCGAGTCGATCATATCACCGAGTCGATCACTTTTTCTTGGCACAGAACTTTACACCTAAATAAATCAACCACAATATATTAAATTAATTATCGCTCTCTATATCTGACGAACTAGATATA